AGGACTATGTAGATCATTAAAATTTATTAAAGACTCCATTGGGAAAACACCTTATTACAAAGAACCATTTTGAGAATTTTCACAAATTACATATAAAAAACAACATGAAAAAATCTATAAATCTAGATATTTACATAACAATATTATTTTATCAAATAGAATACAAAAAATTATAATGTAAAAAGTTATATGTTCCAATAGGGATGGGGTTTTGGGTCTGAATAAGTAAAGGGCTTATCTTTATATATTTGTGTTTAGAATATTTGTTCAATTTTAATTTTTTGTCAATAAAATTTTTAACATTATAATTGTGATTATATAATAATCTATTTTGTAAAATAAATATACCACATTGGAAATATGAGATAGACTGAGTGAAATCATTTTACTGAATAAATAAACCAATTTGATTGAAATTATTTTTAAATCATTTTATATGACAAATTCAACAATCAATTCGTCTTATATATGGATGCATTTTAAAGTCTTGCACCTCACAGGAACACATGAGGTTGAAAGTCTTCCTTAATGCTAAAGAATATGAATCGAAGATGCACATTGTGAGATAGATTGCACACGTGGGGCAATGGAAGAGCGGGTGGACCAAATGATGGAATTACAGATATCTTAATTCCCAGATTTTAATAAAAAATTACAGTGATCCAATCGTACAAATTTGGCAAGAGACATATCCAAACTTTAACAAAATTGTGAATGATCCACATCATTTACAAGAAAAAGGAATATTGGCACCAATATTTATTGTGGTAGACACAATAAATGAATACATGACTGTCCTTAATGTTGGTGAGAAGTCGAAGACATTATTAAGTTCGGACAACATATGCAAATCAGATACAAACTCTTATTTATGAGCAGACTTACATATGCCAAAGTTTTTAAATAGCATTTTGTGCTTCAAGCGTCTCAAACCATGAACTGACTTTAAAGGTTGGAATTCCTATTATGTTGTTATGAAATATTGACCAAACAATGGGTCTTTGTAATGGTATTCAGTTGATTATAACTCGGCAAGGATCCATGTCATCCAAAGAATTTGAGAGCAGTAAAACATGCTGGTCATGAAGTTGTGATTCCAACACTCGCACTCACGCCTTCGGATATGAGGGTTCGTTTTAAGTTTTAGAAAAAACAATCTTCAATAATGACCTCATACGTTATGACAATAAATAAAATTCAAAACCAATCCCTGAAGCACACTGATCTTCTACTGGAAAAATCAGTCTTTAGTCATGAATAGTTTTACGTTGCATTTTCTCAAGTGACAAATCGTCAAGGCCTTAAAATTTTGATTTGGGACACTGATAATAATGTAGTACTCGAGCATACCACTAATGTTGTATTTAAAGAAGTTTTCCAAAATATTTGAAGTATGTTGTAATGCTCACTTTTTTGTTTTTATTTGTAATGTATTAATAATAATAATAATAATAATAATAATAATAATAATAATAATAATGTTTTAATGTCATTTAGTCTGTTTCTCCTTATCAATAAGCTATTATGTAGGAATATGACCTTTATCCTTGGAATTTCCTAAGATGTATAGAATAAAAATACATTTCTTACAAATTAAACTCTTAATTAAATTTTAATTATGACAAATATAATAACGAAATGCTTCCCGTGCATAGCGCGGGTACGATGCTAGTTATTCCCAAAGTTCAAAGAGTTTTTCCTTGCATCCATCATTTAACTCTACAAGGCTAGAATTACTTTATGACTTTTTAAAGTAACTTTCAAAATTAAAATGCTTGCCTTTCTTTTAATTTGATACATAAAATGGCTACACTCAAAGGATGAAATAACAGAAACGAAATCGGAAATACCGTTTGACTGAGGGTGGCCTACTACGTGAAAAGTTGGAGAAAAGTCAAAATACATCAAGGAAAACATCATTTACTCACTTTTTATTTCAATTACTTTCTTAATTTTATTCGGTATGAGTTTTTTTTCTGATTAGTTGATGTTATATTATACCTAGACCTGGCAATCGGGTCAATCGGTTCGGTTCCGGTTCGGGTCTTTTCGGTTCGGGTCTCTTTCGGATATATGTTATAATCGGTTTGGGTCGGTTCGGTTCGGGTCAGTTCGGTTCCGGGTTTATTTCGGTTTGATTAGTTTTCGGTTTCGGTTCGGTTTCGGTTCGGGTTTGTATCGGTTCGGGTTTGTATCAGTTCGGGTTTATATCGGTTCGGGTTTATATCGGTTCGGGTTTGTATCGGTTCGGGTTATATCGGTTCAGGTTTGTATCAATTCGGGTTGTATTGATTTGGGTTTATATAGATTTGAGTTTATATCGGATTAAATTTATATTAGTTCAAGTATAATGTAAACACATACATACTAATAAATGAATAAATCACATAATAAATTTAGTTAATTTAGTTAACTATAATTTTTATATACTTTCTATAAAAATACAAAAGTATTTTAACTTAAGTTATAAAATGCAAAGTAAAAGATTTGTACATGAAAGTAGTTACATGATTTGCACCCATAATTTAAATATGTTTTTTTAGAAACACATCAACATATGTAAAAATATATAGGTAATTCGTTTTCTCCAAATTCATTTGATAAATGAAATATTAATGAATTTGATCAATTTCGGGTCTAATCGGGTTTGGGTCTAATCGGTTCCGGGTTTAACCGGGTTCGGGTTTAACCGGGTTTGGATTTAATCGGTTCGGGTTTAATCGGATTCGGGTCTGAATCGGGTCCGAATACATTCGGTTCGGGTTCGGTTTGGTTCAGATCATTTCGGGTGTTCGGTTCTATTTCAGTTCTTCAGTTTTCGGGTCAAATCAGGTTCGGTTCCGGGTTATTCGGTTCGGGTTATCGGGTCCGGGTCAGTTTTGCCAGGTCTTTTATACCCATGTTATATTATACCCATCTCCTAATTTAAATTGTTTACTTATTATTCACAAAATCAAATTTTATTCGCTTTCATTTCTTATTTTCATTACTTATTTGATAAAATTATATAATAATGTCACTACTTGTTTTGTAGACCTTTTGATGTAGTTTTTAAATATGTAATTTTTATTTTTTTAATTTTAACCCATTTTTCATGTAAAATGATTTGAAAATTAACTTCAGTCAAACATCGTAAATCAAAAGAAACGATTTAAATTAGGAAGAAGGGAGTAATATTTAATAGTTTATTAGTTTGTTTTTATATCAGTTATTGAAGTTAGAGTCATGATTGGGCTTAGAATTAGACTAGGTTTAGGATTATGATTTTTCTCTGTAGTCTATAAATGGAGATGTAACCTCTCATTTTCTTTATCAAAATAATAAACCCAAGTTTCTCTTCTTCATTATTCCTTAGCAGTCCGAAGACGCTCGAAGTTTTCCATCTTTCTCTCCTCTCTTCTTCTTGGAGTCTAAAGAACGCTCTAAGTTCTTCTCTATTCAAAACAATAATCATATCAATTGGTACTTTCATTGAGAGAGCACCACAAAACACATCTATTTTGGTCAGAATACAACCCGACCACTGCCACATCTCTAACTAGAGGTTCCAATCAGGTCAACTGGATCGGCTCTGAATTGAATTTTTTTGGCTCAGATATCTTTCTGATATATGTTATAATCAGTTCGCTTCAGTGGGGATGAGTTTAATTTTGATTTGAATTTGATTCGCTTCTATACATTTTTGGTTCGGTTTCGAGCCGTTTCAGATACGGTTTGGATATAAATCGATTCGGATAGATTTCGATTAGGATATAATTTGGATCAGATATATTTCGGTTTCGGATCTAGTTCGGTTCTGATATACTTTGGTTTCAGATCGGATATATTTCAATCAAATATATTTTGGATATCTATTATTTTCTAATTAAAATTTAATTATCCATATTTCTGTTTATGTTTTATCTCATTTATCAATCTATCATCAATTCAACACCTCATATTATTTTATATTTTTTCTAATTATACTATCTCCACCCTAAATAATCTTCTTTTTTGACGTTTTAGTCATATTTTACAACTTTGGGCTACAATTTATGAAAAAATTTATATTTAATTATGATATAGATTTAATATAATTTAAATGTATTTTAAAATTTATTTATGATATATCAAATCTTTCTCATATCTAGTAATATATTTATGTTTATAAATGCAAAGATAAAAAATAAATTTAAATAGGGTTTCATTCCAATTGATTACAATTTGGTAAAATTTGAGTGAAATTGGGTGAAATTAAGTGAATTTTATTCAATTGAATACAAAATTTATAAATTATTTGAGGTTGAAATTAGATAAAATTAAATTTAGAGTCAAATACAATTAAGCCACATGACATTAATCGATGTTCTAAAAAATTAGGAATATTTTATTAATCTAAATTAACCTGAAAAACATCAATATTTTAAATTAAATAATACTCCGTAATAATTAAACAACTCTCTCTGTCCCTAATTAAATGACACGTACGCTATTCACGTGGTCCAAGTTTATTTACTTTCTTTACCTATTATATATATGTGATACTTATAATAATAATAATTGTAATACTCCGTAATAATAATAATGTCAATAACAACAACAATAAGAATTACAATAAGAATGATATGTTTAAATAAATTTAAATAACTTTCTTTACCTATTATATATATGTGATACTAATAATAATAATTGTAATAATAATAATGTCAACAACAACAATAAAACTACAATAAGAATGATATGTTTAAATATATTTAAATAACTTTTTGAAATTGCTTCTAGTTTTATTCGATTTTTTTCTCATTTTCTTGCAGTATTTCTATTTTATTCTAATTTTTCCAAATTATTTCTAATATCCACCACGTTTTTTCGAACAAATAATAGGCTCTTAGATGATTTCTTTTTTATTTTCGTAAACGAGGGCACGCGGTGCTACAGAAAGTAAAACGTGTCGGCGGCCCTTTTGAACATTTTGTCCTTCCCCTTTCACTTTCGTGTGTTGTAGCCAACTTCATCTACAAGAGACCCCACACCCACCTCTAGTCTCCTCCCACTTCCCTCCCTCCCTCCCTCCCTCTCCCCACCCACCAAAAAACACTCCCCCCTTCCCTCCGGCACTTCACTTCTTCTCCCATTTCTCCGATCATTCTTCCTTTTTATAGCCCATCGGGTTCGGAACTCGATCTTCTGATCGATCTTCCCGGAATTCATTGTTTCGGGAAATGGAGGAGGAGGTAATCAAGATTTGTTCATTGGTGTGTGTGGCGATAATGGTGTCATTCTTATGCGAGCCGTTTGTGAGTGCGACGAATGATGACACCGCCGCCGTTGCCACCACCACGGGGCCTTGTCAGTGCAGCTTCCCTACGCCGCCGTCACTTCCTCCGCCGTCTCCTCCCCAGCTCTCTCCTCCCCAGCTGTCTCCTCCTCCCCCGCCTCTTAGCCCCGGCGGCAACAATTACGACAACTTACCGACGCCCCCGCCTCCTTCTGGCTCCGGCAACCCAAGTTTTTCTCCCCCTAGTGGCGGCGGGGGTAGCGGTTCTCCCCCATCCCCACCAAATTACCCCACAGGGCCGGCGCCACCGCCTCCGAACCCGATCCTCCCCTATTTCCCGTTTTATTACCTCAGACCGCCGCCTCCCCCGTCTGGATCCACCCGATTCCCAGCCTCTATTTCTTGCTTGGGCTTCACAACGCTCTCTCTGTTCTTTCTTTTCCTTTGATCATGATGAATACCATACATACAGACATAGTGTATAAGTGTTCCTATAAAAGAATTAAGTGTCGGAATCCCAGATCGATCTCCAACTGTCTTCTTAGTCTTTGATCATCAGATTGCAGCCTGGGGAGATTGGACAAGGAGAAGAAGAGGAATACTATCAATCGAATCCAAGACTTGTCTGATCTGTCTCATGGATCCTGTGGTGGTTAATCTGTATATCGTTGACTTTTAGTTACTTGTCATTTGGTGTTACACTCCACCCCGGAGTTTCCTTTGCATAGTTTGTAACGACAATCTTGTCATTAATTTATTTACGGAGTATCATTTTTTCTTAATTAATTGCTGTAATGGTTTTGTGGCTTAATTGTAACTCAAAATTAACTTGGGGTGCCATTGAAGAAGTGGGGGTCTATTCGGGTCGGGGCTGAGTGAAGGATTTACCGGGAGAATTAGAAGGTAGGAACATAATCGTCAATTTTACGAACGGAGCATCGAAGGTCCCTCCGCTCATCCCATGACACAGTGGTGGATCCAAGAAAAAAAAATTCATCGGGGGTAATTTCAACTCGTTAAAGCATCAATAGCGGGAATACTACGGAGCTCTAGAACAGAGTGCTTCCGATTTTTTTACATGTGAATGACAAACAAATAATTAATTTTATCTCAAACATCTATTCACATAATTAAAAAAATAAGAAAGTCAAAATTTAGTATCTAAAATTTAAGAAGACCGAACTGATAGTTGCTCTATTTTAAATATTTACACTCCCATATTCTATTTTACATAGTACTCCGGGGTATTATTTTTTCTATGTTGTTCCACACATAATAATCATATACTCCGTAATTATTTATACACACATCATAAAAACTATACATAATACAAAATAAATTAATTAAACAAAGATTGCGGCATATTTTATTTTAAAGATAAAGACTATATATATATATATATTGTTGGGTTATGGAACCCGGGGGCCTAAGTAACTAGGCGGACGAGTATCGAACTAAGTACGGGTGCACAAAGTATGAGGGGTCAAGTAGATTGAGAGTAATAATGTGATAGTTGGAATATCAGTTAGAACGTAAGTCCCTCTTCCCTTAGAAGGGAAGAAGTTTATATACAAGTTACAGCTAGGGTTCCGACCGTTGATCCGTAATCCAACGGTCTGGGCCCACTAAGATTGGGTTGTTCACTGGCGGCGTCCAACCACATAATTGACCCTAAGACTGCTACACAAAGTAGGTTACAAGTAGGGTGGCTATAGCAACTCTGCCAGAGGTATGGCAGGAGTCTAATCGTGGGTCCCTTGATCCTGACCAGGCCGGCTTCCTCGTATAGATCTGGTCTGCCGCTACTCGTGGCCGAGGCCGAGCGCCTGTCTTGCCTTCGGAAGCCTCTGGATGGAGGGCCGACCGTGGTTGCTCCGAGGATGACCAACCCTGCCGGGGCCGAGTGCACAGTGCTGCCGAGGCGCTCTTTGTTGGTCATTTGTCCTGGTTCCGTCAAGTGGGCCTTGACGAAGTTGGGCTGGGCCGTCTTCCTACTGGGCTGGATACCCCCATTCCCGTGTATCCATCATGAGTCCCCTACTTCCTCGGCTGAGCGCAGCGAGGCCGAGGGAAGTAATCCAACAGTTGGGATCCTGAATTTTTTGAGTTTCAAAATTTGAAAATCTTGGCCATGTGTAGGAGTCCCCCGCTGCCCAAGTCAAGTACTGACGAGGGTTGGGGAGTGTCCAACTGGCAAGATTTACACGTGTCCCCTCGATTCTGAGAAGTATGATTGTACCGCTTGGGAGATGCAACGTCTCTGTACTGTTCCTTTGTCAGCCGTTCACGATAACTCGTGATCCTACGCGTAAGGAAGCGCCACGTCTCTTCGTAATCGTGCCTTTTCATCGAGTCGGGTCGGGTCTCTTCATTGTATAAAATTGAGAATTTTCCCAATCTTCTCCACTTTTGCCATTTTTTGCGCCGTAGCTTTGCCGTTGATTTCGTTCACTATCTCCGTTTGCTTCCGTCGCCGTCGCAGTCCAATTTTGAAGGTTAGTTCCCTCTTCTCCGTTCTCATGGCGTCTTCCGATTCCAATCCTTCCACCCCCGCTGTCGACTCAGCGGTGGTTTGTTTTGAAGAAATGTACCGTCAAGATCCCTCCCTCCGCCCTGACGGCTTGATGGGAGGAATTGACCATTCTAGGGTTTTGAGCGCGGTGCCTCTCCGCACGTCCGTCACCGTGGCATCATCGTCCCGGGCAACGCCCTTGAAAAAGAAGAAGAAGAGATCGAAAGTTGTCAAGGGGAAGAACCCGAAATCCTTACCCGTTACCGTGCTGGAAACGGGTCCGATTACGAATACGGGTTGTCTTCTGTTGGATATTGACTTTGACGAGGCTCTCCACTTTGTGGGAGACAGTTACACAGTGCGCCGACCACACACAACCAACCATGTCTTCTCCGTGACCTGTCCCGACACCGAGGTCGAGGTGCACGTGGCGTCAATGCGTTACGGCCTTTGCTTCCCTCCTCACGACCTGATAGTCCAATTATTGAATTTCTACCGTCTTTTGCCGGGTCAGCTCAGTCCCCACTCTTACTATTGCTTCTCAATTTTCCTGATTAAGTGTCACCAGAGGGGAGTCCCCTGGTCTTTGGACTTGTTTTGTTATATGTTCAAGGTCTCCAAAGTGGGGGCCAATGAAGGGAATTCATATGCCGTTGTCTCTTCCCAGGCCGAGTTTGGTATGGCCGTCTTCCCTTCGTCCCTGAAACTTTGGAAGGCCAAGTTTGTCTTCATTTCTGGCTTTCCCGGGGACCGGCATCCCTTCCACGCCAGGTTTTCCGAATGTCACACGTTTATTCGTCATCCTCGACCTGCGGCCACTCCTGAGCTTCAGGCACACGCGTAGAAACTGTTGGAAGACTGCCGGCCTAAACCGCCTCACGTGTACACGGTGTGTACGGAGCAGAACCTAGCGGAGGTGGGGATCCTTATCTCCCTCGAGCGCCAATTCGAGCTGTCCGAGGCCGTGCTTGGGAGTCGCCCTAAGCATGGGCTTGAGGAGAGTGCCCCGAGGTCGGAAGATATAGAGTTGGAGGACAACGAAAGGGAAAATGGCGGGGAAGCCGGAAACGATGAAGAATCATGGCAGCCGTCCTACTCCGAGGGGGTTGTTGGTACGGAGCCTTCTGGAGATCTGTCCCTCATATCAAGGTGTTTCCTGTTGGATGCCAGGTCTTTTAACTATTGCTTTGTTTTGGGAGGAGATATGAATCCGGTGGATGTTATTCGCAAGGCCAAACTGCTGGCTCGAAACCGAGGCCGAGGAGCGGAGGTTCAACAAGGATCTTCGCCCGTGGGCGCAACTGGATCTGTTGCCTCGGCTCCGGATCGGGAAGTAACTCCGTCCCGGAACCAGAAGAAGAGGAAACTCATTCAGGTCGAGGACGAGGAAACCGCGTTCGAGCAGGATGTGGTTCTGACCCAGAGTCCAACAAGCAAGCGCCCAGGCTGTCTTCAAAGTGGAAAAAATCCCACTTCCCTCGACAAGGCCGACGGGGATGTGCAGGCTGAGGCCGAGGCTACTTCCCTTTCTGGGGCGCTCAAAGATGAGGACGAGATTCTTTCGTCCCTGTAGGGGCTTATGGACAGCTTCCACAAACAGGTTAGGTTCTTGACGTCTTAACTCTCCTTATCTGTGCGAATAACTGACCCGATTTTTCTTAGGTGTCGGCGAAACTGAGCCTGATCACCGAACGTCGAGCCGGGGCCGAGTTCTCTTCTTCCATGAACTTCTTGGCTTCGGTGGAAACAAAGGTGTCTCGCCTACGGAAATTGGCGGAAACCGAGCACGAACGAGCCGCCGAGCTTGAGATGCAGGCCGTGGCGAAGTCCGAGGAGGTGGTCCGGCTGCAGGGCCTCCTGAAAGAGTCGGAGGAATCAGCCTCCCAACTGACGGCTTCAATGGCCGAGCTCGAGGGGCGACTGCGCCAGTCCGACGGCCGGATCTCCGAGCTGGATCTTGAACTGGCTGAAGCTGTCTTCGCGCAGCGGTCAGTGGAGGTGGAGCGGGATCAGCTTCTTGCCGAGAGGGAGCAAGCCGTTGTTGCCGAGAGGGAGCGCGCTATCTCTGACTTCCTTCAGTCCCCGTCCTTCAAAGAAAACTGCCTGGAGAGGATGGCCGCTTATTACGAAGACTGGCTCAAGACCGAGGCCGGCACTGAGAAGATGGGAGTGGAAGGGACGAAGTGGTTCGAGAGCGGCGTCCATCATGGGATTCAGCTCGTCCTTTGCCGGACCAGAAGGGTAGATCCGTCCTTCCCTCCGCCCGGGGTCGACATTCCAGAGATGCACGATCCTAGCCTTAACGCCGAACTCGGGGAGAATCCAGACTACCTTGGGACTCCCGAGCACGAGGACGCGGGTGCAGATGGAGTCGGCGACGAGCAACCCTCAAATGCCCTTCCTTAGTGTTTTCCTTGTAATGCTTGCAATCTTATTCTTCACTATAATAAAGATTTTATTACTATTTTGTTGCATGCGTGAATAGTTGAGCAGATTTCTAACATTATTTATTTGAATAAATTTGAATTGCGCCTTTTGAGGAACTGACTCTTTGGCTTCCCCACGCAAACTGACCTAACCACTGGACCGTCGCTTTGTGCCAAACACGTGTCACTGCGCACAGTTATACTTCTTACCACTGCGACTGTTCAACTCCCTTATCCCTTCGTTCATGGGCCTATAAATTGGCCTTCTCCTTGCATCGTGAAGTCCATCTCTTCGTTCTTTTAGTAAATCTTTTCATGGCTTCCAATAATTCTAGGGAGATCGGCCCTCTGCCTTCCCGGCAGGAGACCATTCGCCGCCGTCCTCCCCCTCTGGTGGAGGATGCCGAATCTCGCACAAGTTCATGGTGGTATCGTGCAAGGAAGTTGGAAGGGCGGATCAAACGTCTCCGAAGACTCGTGAATTATCTTCACGGAGTTCCCCAACAGCCAGCGCCTTTGGTCGAGCCCGCTCGGCCAGCCGCTGATGCCATCCCCGCGGGTGACGATCACCCGGAGGAGTCTGTCGGCTCTTCCTAAGTTTCCCTATTATGGCCCTCCCCTGTATACTTGCCGATGGAGGTTTGCAGAATCGGGGGGCCATTCACGTCCTTTGGCGCCTGGGCTTTGTTTGTCCTAAAGTCCATTGGGCCCGGGGGGTGTCTACCTCCCCATGGATTTTCGGACGAGGGAAGAAAGATTCCCAAATCCATTGGGAGGTAGAGAAAGTCATATCTTTTCCTTTCTCAGTGCCGCTGTGTAATAAATGTTGCCTGTGTTGCAACCGTATCGTGTAGGGCTTGTAATAAATGTTGTAGCTTTCGAGAATACCTCTGTAATGGAGTTTGCCCTGTGTACAATGAATGTCTTTGTAATAAGTGCCATGTGCTGATTATAAATATGATGCATTGTTTCCTTTCCTTGTTTGCGTCTCTTTTTTTTTTTGCAATATGGCGTTAAGCCCTGGTACTCCTTCTCTTGAAGAAGGAACGTCCTTCATTCGGGCTACTCCCCCTTGTTCTTTCCTTATGGCAGATTCATCTTCGCCCAGTTTTACCACCGCTCCGACTGCGGTGGGGAAGTGTACTTATCCCGATTTGCCTTCTTTGAGTGAGGATTCTGTCCAAAGTCCCTTCCGTCGGGAACCTGATCCAACAGAGGTCGCGCAGAAGTCTGGCCGTTTGGTGCGCAAGGTGGGTACAAACGTGTGTGCCTACCTCAAAGGCTTTCGTCGTGCTCACCAGAAGAAGACGATCAGCGCCGACCTCAAGGCACAGCTCGCGGTTGACCATGGTGCTTCCTCCGTAGATTCTTCATTTTCTGAAGAAATAAATGTGTATTTTGACCATTCGGGAAACAATGCTTCACGTTCTTGTGCCTGAATTATGATGTATTGCCGTCTTGGGCGGAGTTTGTGTAATAAAACTGCCTGCGTTTTGCTTTTCTTCTTTTTTTTTAACACCCCGAAGGGTTCTTTTGCGCTCACGCCCTCAGCAGGGCGGCGAAAGGTGTGTCCTCAGCAGGACTAGGGGTCGTGGAAGACATCCTAAGCAGGATTGCAAGTTTTTTGTCCTAAGCAGGACATTGCGCTGCCCTGTGTGCTATTAACAAGTTGTGCCCATTCGGACCTTGTTCTTCGTGTCGTTCAGAGCGCCAATTCCCCGGGTTAAGCCGTGCGGATGGACTCCCCCCTGAGGGGACACTCGGCAATAGGTATTGTCGAGTGGCCAGACGGCAAAAATTCGTTTCTCGTGGTGTGTGTGAGCACAAAGGGACTTAGTTCGCGTATAGCAAAAGACCGCGTGAGGCCATAAAAAATCGCGGCGTGGGAGCCCGATAGCGCTAAGCAGCGTCTTTAAATTTCGTAAAGCAAAACAACGGAATTCGCGTGGAAGCGAGTATTTCATTAAGTAGAAGATTTTGTTGTTTTTTTAGCTACCGAGGCCGACTGGTTACGGTTCTCAGCGCCTTACATGTAAAAAGAAATGAGATTGTGCGTGTTCCAGTGCCTGCCGAGTTCGCGACCTTCAAGCGTGGAGAGCTTGTAAGTGCCTGGCCTGAGCACAGCTGTGACCTTGTACGGTCCTTCGTAGCTTTTGGCAAACTTTCCCCCTTCTGTAGGCTGACTGGCCTCCCTCTTCCTGAGTACCAGGTCCCCTACTCGGTATTCCCTTGCTCTGACCCTGCGGTCGTAATATTCTTTAACTTGCCTCCGGTAGTTCTCTGCTTTGAGGAAAGCTTGCTCTCGGCGTTCCTCAACGAAATTAAGATCAGCCGTCATGGCTTCCTCATTCTCCCTGGCTTCATAATTCTCCTCTCTCCATGTCGGGATGAACACCTCCGAGGGTGCCCTCGCTTCCAGGCCATAGCACATGGAAAACGGCGTTTCCCCAGTCGCCCTCCTTGGAGTGGTACGGTATGCCCATAGCACGTTGGGGAGTTGATCGACCCACGCTCCCTTGTAGGATTCAAGCCTCTTCTTGATCCCGTCCATGATTGTTCGATTTGCGTTCTCTACTTGGCCGTTCCCTTGCGGGTATGCCACAGAGCTGTAGGTGTGCCTTAGCTTCCAATCTCCCAAAAGTTCATTGAAATCTCCAGCTTCGAATTGGGTTCCGTTGTCTGTAGTGATCTGCTTTGGGACACCATACCGGCAGAGTATGTTGTTGCTCACAAACTTTGAGCATTGTTCTGAGGTTCCTCCAACTAAAGGCTCGGCCTCGATCCACTTTGTGAAGTAATCGATGGCCACAATGATCCAGCGGAAATTACCGGGTGCCCTCGGCATCAGTCCGATCAAATCCATCCCCCAATGAGCAAAAGGAATTGATGAGCTGATGGGATGATAGCTGGTTCCTGGCCTCCCTGGGATGGTTTGAAAAACCTGGCATACCTTGCAGTGCTTGGCGCGCTTGGCACAGTCCTTCACCATGGTCGGCCAGAAGTATCCCTGTAGGACAATGCGTCTGGCCATGGAGAAAGGACCCTGGTGTGCCGCGCATATTCCTTCGTGGACCTCCTCCATGATCTGCCCCGCTTTGGTTTCGTCAACACATCTCAGTAATGTGCCGTTGTATGATCTCTTGTATAGTCGGCCATTCTCAATGACATACGTCGGCGCCCTCCGTTTGATCAGACGGGCCGTCGTCTCGTCGCCGGGGAGGACTCCATCCTTCTTATACCGGATCAATTCCGCGATCCATCCGCTGGCCTCCTTGGTGACGACAGAAATGAACTGAACGTGAATGCTTGGAGACCCCAGGTCTTCAATGTGAGCCATCTTGGAGATGTGCTCGGTACTGTCGTTGCTCAGTTTGGAGAGGACGTCGGCCTCGGTATTTTCCGCCCTCGGGATCTGCACGAGCTCGTAACCTTTAAGGATTTTGAGTAATTCCAAGGCCGCCTCCTTGTATAGACGCATCCGTTCCTCCTTGGTGTCGAATTCCCCTTTGATTTGACTGACGACCAGGCGCGAATCTCACCTGATCCTGACGTACTCGGCCTTTAAGTTGAGGATGAGCCTCAGTTCGCTCAGTAATGCTTCATACTCGGCTTCGTTATTGGATACCTTGAACTGGAATTTTATTGCATGATAGGAGCGGAATCCTTCAGGTGATTGGATTACCACGCCCCCACCGCAAGCCTTTGCAGCTGATGATCCATCAGTGGACAAAGTCCACCAATCTTCCTGCTCCGCCGTTGGCATGGGGTTGTTGTCCCGTGCCGTGCATTCCACCATGAAGTCGGCCAAGGCCTGGGCCTTGATTGCTGCCCTCGGCTTCATCTCTATCTGATACTGACTCAGATAGACAGACCACTTGATGACCCTGTTGGAGGCCGTCGGATTCCTGATGATGATGCTCAGAGGTTGATGACTCCTCACTTCCACTTCATGGGCTTGGAAGTAATGGTTCAGCTTCTTGACCGTGTTGACAACGGCCAAGATTGATTTTTCCACCACCGAGTATCTGAGCTCGGCGTCCCTCAAGGTTCTGCTGACGTAATAGATAGGGCGCTGAGTGTCCCCTTCTTCTCGCAACAAGATGGAGCTTATGGCTCCAGGGCTGACGCCCAAGTAAAGGTACAGCTTCTCGCCTTTGATCGGCTTTGCTAACACCTGGGGAGCCAGTAAATACTTCTTCAATTCCTCAAATGCCGCTTGGCACTCGGGTGTCCACTGGAACTGTGGAACCTTCTTCAGTGTGCCGAAGAAAGGGATACTCTTCTCGGAGGATTTTGACAAAAATTGGCCGAGTGCGGCCATCTTCCCCGTCAGGCGTTGTACCTCTTTTATGGAGCGAGGGGGCTCCATGTCTAGGATCGCCTTGACCTTCTCGGGATTGGGTTCAATACCTCGTCGGCTCACAAGATAACCTAAGAACTTGCCACCTTCTACACCAAATGTACATTTTTTTGGGTTAAGACGTAAATTGAACTTGCACATAATAGAAAAAACCTGGGATAGGTCCTCCGCATGGTCGGAAGCCTGCTTGCTCTTGACGATCATGTCGTCCACATATGCTGCCATCGTCTTTCCCAAGACCGAGTGGAACACTCGGCTGACCATCCTGGTGTACGTGGCTCCGCTGTTCTTTAGCCCGAATGCCATCACCAAATAGCAATACACCCCCTCCGGGGTGAGGAACGCCGTCTTCTCGGCATCTTCGTCGTGCATGAACACTTGGTGATAACCTCTGAACGCATCCATGAAAGACATGACCTCGCACCCGACAGTTTCGTCGATCATTTGATCAATGTTGGGCAAAGGGAAAGGGTCCATAGGACAAGCTCGGTTCAGGTCAGTGTAATTTACACACATCCTAAACGTCTGCCCCTTTGGTGCCAGCACGACGTTGGCCAGCCAGGTGGGGTATTTGATCTCCTTGACATGCCCTGCTGCTTGGAGCATGTCCACCTCCTTCTTCACGAAATCTCTCTGGTCTTTGCTCAAGTGCCGCCTTCTCTGCTTTACGGGCTCTGCGTCCGATCCGACCGCGAGGCGGTGGGTGATTAGGGATTTGCTCTCCCGGCATATCCTCGACACTCCATGCAAGACCACAAAGTTCTCCCTGAGTACCTGTATGATTTTCGTTCGAAGTTCGGCACTAATGTTAATGCCGAGCTTGATCTTCTTCTCCTGCTGCTCCTCCATGATCACCACATCTTCTGTATCTTCGGCTGGTTCAGCTCTAGGACGGCCTTCTTCCTCCTTCAAGAGTGCCGTGGCAATACTGTCCACTCTGAGATCATGGGCGTCCATCTTCTTTGTTTGCTTCTGGTAGCAGAGTCGGGCGAGCCTCTGGTTTCCTCTGCATACTCCCACTCCTGAATCGGTAGGGAATTTCATGCTTAAATACTTCACCGATGTTACGGAGTCGAGATCTTCCAGTGCAGGTCGACCCAAGATTAGATTATGGGATCCCAGAAGTCGCACCACCAAAAATTCGACCGGGATCGTCTTCTTGTGTTCTCCATCGCCGAATGTGACCATCACCTCGACCAGGCCTTCTGAATCGATGATGTCCCCTGTGAATCCGGATAAGGGAGTCCTTACTCTCTTCAAGAGTTCATTCTTCAATCCCATCTCCTCAAATGTCCTTACATACATGATGTTCACCGAGCTCCCAATGTCAACGTAGGATCGGTGGATTATCACCTCGTTGATCTCACACCTGACGACCAACGCGTCCCTGTGGGGTGATGGAATCTCAGGCAGGTCCTTGGGACCAAATAGGAGGGGCTTTGTCTTCGTGATTTTCGACGGTCCAGGTGCGCTGTGAACATCTCCGATATAGGCCGAGTGTACCCACTTCTTTCTTTGCTCGGCACTGTCTCCTCCGGTGTTGCCACCGTAGATCATCCTGTTCTCCTCGACCCTCTTTTGTCTAGGGTTGTCTTCTTCTTCTTCATCGCTCGGGAGACCTATCTCCTTCCTCTTCTTCTGCTGAGTTCCCGCCGGTTTCTTCCCTCGGTTGTCTCCGTTCTTCTTCCCATCATCCTTGCGCCATGTGTTCTTCTTCTTGACGAATTGTCGCAGATATCCTGCCTGGATCAGGTTCTCGATCTCCCTCTTGAGGACCTTACACGCGTCCGTGTCATGACCGGCCGCTCTGTGGAACCTGCAGTAAGGGCCCTCTGCGACAGTGCAAATCGGGGGGAATCGCGGATCGTACTCCACCAAGCTCTGATGCTCGGCGAAATCTAGAATGGCGCTTACGGGATGTGTAAGCGGCGTGAGCTCATCAGGGAACAACAACTTGGGACCTCTGGGAGGATAAGGTCTCCTGTCCTCGCCTCCTTCTTCATATATGTCCTTTCCGTGCGATCGTCGGTCGTGAGGGTCTCTGCCCTTCCAGAAGCAGTGTCCGACTGGCAAATGTGGTCGCTCATCGATGGTGACCTTCCTCGGCGTGGGCTTCACCGCAGTCGCGATAGAACCAAGCCTTCCAGCTTCCTCCTTTTTCTTATTTGCCTCCAGCTCCTCTGCTTCGGCTTCATCCTCTGCCATGGCCAGCGCGATGGAATACTCCCTCGGCTTCTCCAAGGCCAGGCGCTTGGAGAAGTCACCTGAGCGTAAGACCAAATGGAAGGTAGATAACCTGGTTTTGTCATCCGCTCCGTAAACTCTGGTGGTCTCTAGCTTCCACCTCGCCAGGAATTCCCTCAGCAGCTCGTCTGGTCGTTGCCTAACCGACAAGAGATGTGAAAAATGTAATTTCTTCTTCCTGTTCCCGGCAAAATGGACCAGGAACCTTCGTGCCAAATCCTCCCATGAGTCGATCTTCCCCTCAGGGAGCTCACTGAACCACTCAGATGCCAACCCGTCGAGAGTGGCGGGGAACGACCTGCAAAGGACTTCCTCGGAGAACGTCACCACGTTCATGAGGGTTTGGTATCGGTTGAAATGCTCGTGCGGATCTGTGGTCCCGTCATACCTCGGTATGGGCGGCATCTGAAAGCTGCTCGGCAATGGTGCCCTCAGGATCCTTTCGGAGAAAAGAGAACGAAGTCTGAACATGGGTTCGGCAACCTGTCCTGCCCCGTTCCTCCTCTCCAGGGCGTCCAGTCTTTGCAAGAGGAGATCGATGCGTTCGTCCCCAGGTCTGCCCATGTCCCCGTCCATCGCGATAGGCGTCCCTTGCGGCGCTCTCAGAATCGGATGTTGAACGGGTTGCTCGACCCAGGAATTTTGCCTTTCTGGGTGGACCTCTCTGTGTCGGTCACACTGTTCCTCGCAAGGCATCCTGATCTTCCCTACTTCGTTCTGCAGGAAAGCATTCCGTCGGCCGTACAGCCGTTCCGTGACCGGCACCCGCATCCGCCTGAACACGGATACGTGCGACTCACTTTCACCCTGTCCTTCCTTCAAGGGTTCACGACGTTTGCTCGCCGTTTCCTTGTCTCGACGGCTGGCTTGCTTCATGTTGGGTCTACGCTCCGGGCCCTTGCCGTTGTCCCGCTGCTGGGATCGGCTCAACTCCTTGTTCTCAGGTCCCCCGGCCAAAGGATTCAGGCGGGAGTCCATCATTAGATTCTTCAGGTGTTGGGCAAAAAGCTCTGCACTTTCCACCACGTTTTGCTGGACCTCACGATGCCCGTCAGGCTGGAACTTCGGCTGCGGCATCGTGACCGGCATGTGGAAACCGGTCATGGGCTGATTGAGCATCATCGCCCTCATCATGGCCCAGAAACCGCTAGGGTCTGGACCTGGGGTCCTCGCACCAGAGGTCTCCCCGAATTGGAAGAATGGTGAGTTGAAATCACCGGGCAACACCATGCCTCCTCCACACACAAGGTCGTTAGGAAGAGGCTGACTTAGAACGTCGACGCCCTGGGTGGGTACCTGCTGGGTTGGCGCCTGAGACCCCCCAGCGTTCGTCGTTCGCCGTCTGGGAATGCGGTGACGCAAGTTAGTGGTATTTTGGCTGGCGACATCGTTGAGGCTGATGTCCAGCTCATCAGGACCTGCGCCGGTCGGCGCCGTTAAAGTCATTCTGAGACCACCACCGAGGTTGGCGGTTGACAACCTGGTAACTCTCCTTGACGCAACCATTTTCCTTTGGAGCACGCTTGATGTGTTCGACACTCTCAATGAGAGCACCAATGTTGGGTTATGGAACCCGGGGGCCTAGGTAACTAGGCGGACGAGTATCGAACTAAGTACGGGTGCACAAAGTATGAGGGGTCAAGTAGATTGAGAGTAATAATGTGATAGTTGGAATATCAGTTAGAACGTAAGTCCCCCTTCCCTTAGAAGGGAAGAAGTTTATATACAAGTTACAGCTAGGGTTCCGACCGTTGGTCCGTAATCCAACGGTCTGGGCCCACTAAGATTGGGTTGTTCACTGGCGGCGTCCAACCACATAATTGACCCTAGGACTGCTACACAAAGTAGGTTACAAGTAGGGTGGCTATAGCAACTGCCAGAGGTATGGCAGGAGTCTAATCGTGGGCCCCTTGATCCTGACCAGGCCGGCTTCCTCGTCTAGATCTGGTCTGCCGCTCCTCGTGGCCGAGGCCGAGCGCCTCACTTGCCTTCGGAAGCCTCTGGATGGAGGGCCGGCCGTGGTTGCTCCGAGGATGACCAACCCTGCCGGGGCCGAGTGCACAGTGCTGCCGAAGCGCTCTTTGTTGGTCATTTGTCCTGGTTCCATCAAGTGGGCCTTGACGAAGTTGGGCTGGGCCGTCTTCCTACTGGGCTGGATACCCCCATTCCCGGGTATCCATTATATATATATATATATATATATATATATATATATATATATATATATATATATATATATATATATATATATATATATATATATATATATATGGCATAAGAATTATGTAGGTATTTTTTCAATTTATTAGGTACAACTCAAGAATTTGGTAGACATTATTTTTTTCAATTTATTTTTCTCAACATTCTTTAGGTCATTATAATTTAGTT